GTGGATCCCAAATCATGAGCTGGAGCTTTGCACCAAGACACTGTGCTAGATCAACCTGTTTGTATACTGTATTTTGTTACTTGGACTGTTAAACTGAAGATGACCAGACGCTCTGCTCCATAACACAACAAAAAAAACTGCTGACTGCAGAAAAACGTATGCCTTAATCCAGTTGATTTGGTCTGCTGAGCCCTTAAAAGTTCAAGACAAACCTTCATAGCAGTTCATATTCTGAAAATGCATACTCCACCAATAGCAAACTGCAAGCTTTGCCAGGCAACTTCACAGTCCTCTCCAGAGCTGTTACTCAAGACGGCTTGTTGAAGATGTTCACTCGTCAGCCATAGCTACCTATCCTATTTTCTAGTTCCCTTCACAGGGTTACTGTGACATGACAAACTGGAGTCTTTCCACTATGACCTAGAAAAAAAATCATGTAGTCATACAGTGAGTCAGGACATATCTACAAATGGCTTCAGCTATGTCTTCATGCAGGATGACTCAAAGGTGGCTAAAAAGTTCCAAATTCCTGGCTAAAGGGTTCCAAATTGCATTGGAACTTCATGGAAAACAAGGTTTCTTTAAATGCCTCTGGAAATTCCTGCCTGCAGAAGTGTGAATGATGGAGGAATAGCTTTGGTATCAAACAAAAAGATATCCTTAATACTGTTGCTGTTATGCTGGGCTAATGGAAACTGACAGAAGATGGGCAACGGCCTTAACAGGTGTTAATGCTCTGTAGCTTACAAATACCACTTTATCAGGGCTGTAACCCCTACTTGCTATGAGGACAGAAAGAAGAGAATCAAGCCAATTCACTTGCCACCCATCAAGCTTGCAAAAAGGCCAAGTATAAGAAGAATAAAAAAATGCCTGACACCATGTCCAGCCCTTCGTAAAAATATGCCACACAGAACACCTTCCAAACACTACCTTCCAAGTCGTTGTTTTTGCTTTAAGATCTTGACAAAGGCAAAATTTTGTTATGGGTATTTACCCATGTAACACTTGGTAATTGCATGTTACCCATGTATTTACCCATTGGCAAAGGTTAAACTTGCCAACCATGGTTATAATTCTTTTGATTCTCAACATTGTTGCACTTGGTATTTTCATCACTTATTACCTAGTGTGCTGTTAATGCCACTTCTTCATGATCTGGTCAGGAAGAAAAACAATCATACATTAAAATGGGTTGTCTTTTCATGCTGAAGTTGGAATGGCTTTTTTCATCGTTCTGTTTGGCTAACCATATGCTTGCATGTGGAGAGCAAACTCTGCTGATGTTACTATGTAAACATTTTGTAAGCACAAATCTCTTTCTGAATCAAGCATTCATTAGAAGTGCTGACTACTGTTTATAAATACTACAGTGAAATCATGGAACATCCGCGTAATGAAAGCTCAGTTTTAAGTGAACAGTCCCTAAACTTGTATTTGTCAAACCTTTAAGTAACAAAAATCATCTCTTCTTCCTTCCACTATGTTCCCAGAACAGCACACTTTCCACAGACAGTATATTGCTGTATTTTACTTCTGGAATAGAAGCAATATAAATTATACAGGGCCAGACTAAGGCTTCCTTACTCACCTCTGCACTCTTACTCATGCAAGAAATCTCCCTCAACTCATTAGGATTATTTGTGCAATGCATTACCAAATTGAAACAGAGATTACAATCTGGTCCACAGGAAACAAAAATTACTCTCTCATACACTGCAGATTATCCATACCCTCCTTAAAATAAAGTTCCTTGAAGGTAAACTTCCTTAGTACAATTTTTTTCAGGATTATATAAAGTGATAAGGACAGTAAAATTCAGAACTAGCACATGATAATTTACCAAACTGATACTTGTCAAAAAGCAGTAGTTTGACTTTTAGTTTAACTCTCTGTCGAAATCGGGGTCCTCGTAGATGCAAATCAGTCATCTTGGCCATGACAGCTGCATGGTTTTCATCATCTCTCTCTGATTCTCATTTGCTGTTCAGAGACAGAATTAGATTTGAATCGGTTTCATTTTATACAGTGTTTAGTTTGTGCTCAAACAGCAAAAGAAACTTGCTTTAACAAAGCTCTTGCTGAAAGATCCCAACTTTAAACTCTTAACCTAAGTGCAAACTCCCTTAAAAATAATGTTTAATTTTGCTGATGTCCATAGCTTCTCATGACCCTTAGCTATAACCTATTTTCCACCTGCACCACAGCAATTAACAGCTAAGTCACACAGCTCCAGCAAAACCTTTCGAGGTTGAAACCACCACCCTGTTAATTTTACTCTACACTTTTTCAGCTTGATGCTATGTTGGATGTGAGTACACACAAAATCTAATACGAGACAGCTCTGTGAAATAAGTGTCCTTCCAGTTACTTAAAAAGACAATTTCTCATCTAGTCCATCATTTCATGGCTTATCCTTTCTTTCTCACTGGCCGAAGCAAACGCTTTCTAACAGTTTCCCAAGGCATTGTTCTGCGTTTGAAAGAGAACACTGGTTCAGTATTTGCCCTCCAACCTACCCTAACCAGGCAAAGCATTAGAAGTGTGTCATTAGTTCCCATGCCCTGCAATGAAAGCGACGGTATTTTTTTTGTATGTGCTTCATCAATTGCTCAACTTGGGCATCAGAACACTGGGAACCTTTGGCCACATTCGAGATAGCATTTTCTGCACGCTGATGTTTGTTAATGTGTTAATGACATGTAAGCAGAATTAGACCCTTTTCATAGCCAAACTTGAAGCAAAGGTCAGTCTCTGGTTCTATGAGAATGCCTGAATAATGACATCTGCTTCAAATATTTATTGCAGCATCCTTGGTCAACTTTAAAGACACTGATTTGCATTTCATAAACCATTTCCTGAGCCTTCACTCAAATTACTCTCATTGCTACTTTGTCTCTTGAGCCAAAACCTGTCTGCTCAACCATCTCACGCACAGGCCATTTCAGGGTACCTTTCCAGTAAGCATGCTTCCCACAGGCACCTTATGCAAGCACCTTTTCTTCTTCCACAGTGCTTTACCAACATGGTATTTCCATGCTGACACTGTTATAGTAACACTAAGGCAAGTACACGACCTTCAGCTCATATTCAGTTGGAAAGCTTTAACACAAGTGTTTTGTTGGAGCTATTCCATCTTGATGTCACATGACAAATGACTGTGGATCTTTTCTTTCTCCCCTCCCACATGAGCTCTTCTCAGGCCAAGCTTTTCTGCAAGGCAGAACTACCCACGCCTTATTCTGCAACAAAAACAAAACTCACTTTGAAAAACTTCCCTTTGTACTGCCCACATATAAAAAGTAAGCCTGTATCACTGCTGAATTAAAGATCTTTGATGAACAACCTGCAGGCTATGTGCAGAAACACATGATTTTTAGGCTAAGCAGAATCCAATGGAGATGAGGAGAAGGGAATCAACAAGGGAACACTTTTCTTTGGGCAGTGTTGAAATTTGAGTAAAAACAAAAGGCAGGAAGTGAAGTCCCATAAAAACAAAGAAAAAAGTGTTATTCCACCAGACCCTTTCACACATTACTGCAAAGTAGCCATAATAGCAAACAGGAAATAGGAAGAGAAGCATACAAGACCTCCAAATACACTCAGTATCTGTACGTACTGGGTTTATAAAATCTCTTTTTTTACTAGCCAGTAAAAACACTAGCCAGCAGTAAGAGAAAAAAAAAATGTTTTGTGTGTGTTTTTGTTGGGTATGGATTGAATTTGTCCATAGTTTAACTCCATATTTTTAACTCCATTTTACTCCAAATTTCAGTGCAGAGATTAATGGTTTTAAAAATCACCGTGCAGAATTTTTTTGTACAACCAGCAAAATGGTTCTTACATCTTACTTTGAAATTAACACAAAGTCTATGATTATAAAGATCAGAGAGCATACAATCTCATGTTTTTACAAATGCTAAATTATCAACTATAAGTGCTTTGAGGCAGAGAGTGGCATGTTTGCCATCTACTGCATGTCTGTACATGTCCTAACACAGTGAGGCTTCCAATTATTTAGCATACCCACATGTCACCTCAATATAAAGGTGAGTAACACTGTGAGGTTTCATGGCCTAAGTTGGACATTGATGTCAAAGGACTTGGACAAGCCTTGTATTACACAAAAACTGCAAATGAGCATGATGCTGTCAGCTCACAGAAAGGAAAGCGCATACTTTCTGCCATGAAAAGCAAGCATTGAGCATCAGCTGGCCAAAGTGAACCCCTAACATCTAATCTGTAAGGAGAACGTGAATGCCCAGGAGAAATATTTGCTGGGTACCTGAGGTTTCTCAGGATTCTTATATAAATAATGGAAGGTCACACCTCCTTAGGGGCATTTCTGATATAAAACATACAGCAGGTGGAGAAACCATTCACCTTACAACGTGTTCACATACAAGATGTTTTTGCCCTCCAAACACTCTCCAGTGAGGGCTTTCAGCATCCCTCATCATGCAGATAGGAAACACTTTCTGATAAGGGGCAGAAAACGTTTAGAACCAACTCCAGATTGACTTGAAAATACCTAGGACCTTGACAACTTAACAAAATGCATTTATTGATTACTTACCACAAATAAGAAACATGCTCAAGAGCACTATGGATTAGATTTAACAGAATTTTTCCAAGGAACTTCAAGGAGGCAGGTGTCCAATCCCCTAGGCTTCTTTAGAAACCTTAGTTTAAATGAGCTTCATAGACATCCAGGAGACTTCTAATGAAGGGCAACTGGACGCTTTTTATAACGGGAGAACTAAGACTAGATTAAAGAATATAGTCCATTACCAAAAGAAAAAAAAAAAAAAAGACAAGGATATCTTCTGTGCTAACTGAGCTTAACAAAACATTTATAACCCGTGATGAATTTTCCCTTTCTTTTTGTTGTTCCTTGTTTCCTTTACTCTCCAAAATTCTCCAAAGAGTGTATGACTGATATTTTTCATCTGTACTGATGTGATAGTATGATATAAACTGATCTTCCTCATCTTACTTACCATCTGACATGCACTCAGTCCTTTTAGTCACATAGTAGCTCAGTTCCAACATCTGTTCCAGGATAGATGGTCCTCTGGGATTATAGTTACATCCTGTATGTTCTAGAATCCTAAAAAATAAGTGAAAAATCTAAACTTTAACACTATTAGATGTCCAAAATAGTTGGGGGGTTTATACATCTCCTCTTGCTTGAAAAGAAATTCTGAAGGAGCATGATGTGATGTTCATCCATAATGGAAGTACCAAGCCACCGATCTGAATCAAGCAGGAGTCAGGAATTACATTACTAGGAAGGAAAAGTGTTTAATGTCAAGATAATATCATTAGTTTCTTTCACTGTCTATGGTTAATGTTTATCACCACCGCTCAGGCCCAGACCACTGCACTGAATTGCTTCCTCTTTGGAGGACAATCTGCCTGCAGATTGCAAATCCCTTAGAACAGTGGAAGATGTAGGTCTGTCCACACATAGCTCAAGCTCTCCTAAGGCTGGGTTCGTGGACATATTGATCGAAAGCACCTACTCCTGGAAGCATCTTGAAAAAAACTGTTTGTTGTGGCTTTCCTGATCATCTCAGCTTTTTGGAATGGATGGGGCGGGGTGTGGGGGGGGGGGAGGAACATGGATTATATTGCA